ATTCTTGATATTTTAATTTGTCAAAAAAATTATAGAGGGAAAAAAAAGACAAGTTTTGTTCAAAATGTTTTTTAATACACATGCATAAACTATTTTAAAGGTGGCTAATATTTTGTCTGTAAATACTAAAATGATAATTATAAAACTTACAAAAAAATGGGAGAGTTGTATAAGCAAGTTACAATGAATTAGTTTTAAATAATTGAACTAAGACATGGTGCATTGTTCTATAAGAAGAATGAAATTAGTATAACTATGAAACATAATTACTTTTATTATCTTATAAAAACATTAAAACTCCACTATTTTTACATGTAATTTAAAAATGATATTAGTCAGAATGCTAAAGAAATTATTCCTTTTCTTTATATCTCAAACATCATTTGAATGTACACAAAAAATACTTGAATAACATGTGTGTGGGTCCAAGCTCTTGTTCATGAAACAAGCTTAACACACTCACTTCAAACCATTGAGTTTCTTTGCAAAACCATTTTCAATGAGCTTAAAATACAAAGTTATATCCCATAAATATAAATACAAACATTTCTGAAAACCTTAAGATTGTTCACTACATGGCTACTACTTTTCTTAGAATAAATAAGCATATTAGTATGTTAATAGTCACAATACAAACATCATAGCTTTACAATCAAATGCACAAGCATTTACCATATTCTTCACTCATATTTAGAATATAAGAAGACATTCAAAGATCAACTGATTATACTAGGTATGACCAGTAACATTTTTTTTAAGACATTTTTCTTTCTATTTTGTTGGTAAAATCAATATGATATCCTTTATAACAACATTAAAAAATTAGACTAAATAAATACAAATCAATCAGCTAACCAAATAAAATCCCAAGATCTTAAACACTTCATATTTGTATTACACTTCATACATTCAGGTAAATTGTAGGAATTTAGAACTAGAATAATATTTTAAAATCAGTTTAAAATGCTATCTTAGGCATATTGTCTCCTATGCAATAAGTTACAGCCATAACTAAAATGGCTAAACTATGTATTTAAAAATTTTGATAAATTGATATTAATTTTTATGTATTTTTTTTTTTTTTATAGAGTACATTTTGTTTTTTGAATGAATTTTAAGATATCTTATACTTCTGGAACTAGATCACAATAATTTTATTAATATATTTCAGACTTAATCTTATTTTGACTCCTACAAATTTTACTAAATTAATGATCTACCATTTCTACTTACTTGACAATAGCTATTACATTCCATTTCATAAACCTTAAAAGTACTGTTTATATTTATTACATCAAACAGGTTTTATTCTTTTCTTTTTTATATACAGACTGATCTAACATATGTTGAAGTAAACAATGTTCTGACTGTTCTCAGCCTTACCACGTATGTGTTTGTGCTGTATTAAAAAATGATCAAATGAAACATCACAGTCCCAAAATTATAAAATTTTAGTGAATGAAGATGTTAAAAATGCTTTTTCACAAAGTTTTAGATAGGAGAAGATAACATAAAACAGCTTGAGAGTTATCAATCATCATACAAACTTTAAAAAAAAGAAATATTTGGACAGTGCACAAATAAAAAATTAAATAAAAATAACCTCTGTACTTTTGTACTTTCTTAAACATAAGGATTTTACTTACTAATCACCAACCAAATTTATTTGCAAAAAATTAACTTAATCCTTCAAGATAATTAGCTTCCGGTAAAATTACAATATAGTTTAGCATGACTTTTCAAATACATTCCTTACAATCAGATATGCAGAATAGAAAGATTATAACACCTCAAGCTAAATTATAATTCAAAACTATCTAAATCAGATAATTTAATATCTTAAAAGTGCTGCATTGGCAAGGATAAATAAAGAATGATAACAAATACAAACAAAGATTAATTACTCATCAAATAAAATATAGTTTATTTTGTGATTTTACTAAAAGAACTCACTGAGTTTGACACTGTAATACAATAGTATGATGACAATAAGTTGTCTGAAGGGGATAAAAAAATATATAAGTGCACATCACAAAATTTAATAAGTATATGCTAAAACAAAGTGTGGACAAGGATAAATACATAATATAAATTAAATTATTGGACAATGTTTCATGCAACAGCCTTTCTTTTGGTCTAAATATGTAATATGAATTTGTTACTTGTAACAACATATGCACTAGATAAAATATTTGCAGTTAACTGTGATGTTTCATTGGATATGAGTAAACTTAATTAAATTTTTTCAGCATCAGTTATTTGTCCAAAGGACCTCATAGTTGTGACTAGAAGTTAAGATTAGAGAACAAAATGACTTTTACTCTCCAGATAATAATAAACTTTATATTTCAGCCAATGTCTTGCCATTGCGGCTTCATCAGGTCCAGTGGCACAAAAACATTTTTGTACAACTAGCCCTGATGAAGCCATAATAGCAAAACATTGACTGAAATGAAAATTATTTTGTTGTTATCTAGAGAATAAAAGTCTTTTTCGTCTAATCTTATTGTCAAAATATCTAAATTCCTCCAGTATTCACTACAAATTCTCAAAAACCAGAAAATATTTCCATCAATTGACCAAATTCACCATGAAAGTTAAGATGTACCTAATTTCACAATGATAGGAATACCTGAATGGTCAAAGGAATGTGAGGACATTGAACTTTTAGACCTTTAATTATATAAGTATTCATATATGTAGATTTCTTTCTCCAACAGAAATGCAATGGAGCAATAGTCACATCACAAACTAAAATTTAGGCCTGGAATTCTCTAGTAAATAACAAACTGATGACATGTATGCTCATGCTCATGGATGTTGCCCACAGAAACTTTATAAGTTTATTTCAGAAGTACATCTTCTTATATGTGATGGTACATGTAAAAACCTTAGCTACCACTCTTGAACATCAAATCAGGTATTCTGAAGAGAAAAATTATTTCTAGTGAAAGAGAAGCCATCATCCATTATTTTCTAAAATTATAATATTAAAAAAACAAACTAGGCTTAGTACAAATTTTCATAGTTTTGTGAAGAGAGTATCAACTTTACTAATGCCTTTTCCTCCTCTAATTTAGCAAAATTTATTGCATGTTTTAAATTTTAGCTTGCATGCTAGATTATCATTAATATATTTTAATCACTAAACATATAAGACATATCAACTTGAAGTATTGGATACTTCAAAGAGTAAACTCGTTTAAAGGTTATAAGTTTGTTTGGTGAACAATAACAAATTCAATGTCTATTATGGAAACCAGATTTTCAAATATCAACAATAATAAATACTTTTACTACAAATTAAGTTACCAACAAATGGAAGGATGACGGCACCAACTGAATGGTGTTTGCACTCGGGTCAATTGCTCTGACACAATCCGTAATGCTATAATGAACACATGAAGTAAACCACATGTTCAACTTCTCATAAACAGTGTTATAAACATATGTGTCAAGTCACGACAGGTTTCTTGCCAGGAACTGTACCACTTGGAACAAACTGGCCTTTGTGTTTTAAAATATCAAATAAAATAAACCACTGGGATCTACTAAATATCTTTTTCTGTGAATTAAAATGCAAGTAGCAGCAGCAAATCATAAAGTCTTCTCAAAAAATTATGAACCAAGAAAACTGAAAATTTGTTTTGTTTGTTGTTAAGCACAAAGCAAAACAATGAGCTACCTGTGCTGTGCCTATCAAGGGTATCAAAACCCAATTCTTAGCATTATAAGCCTTCAGACTTACCTCCGAGCTACTGGGAGCTAAAAGCTAAAAAAGGTACAGTTTTTGAAAAATCAGGTTTAGTTGTAAACTAACATAATTGATAATCATAACATATTTTTACTTACAATTAAATGCTTATTAGTTCCACTACTTCCAAAGTATTCTACACTAAAAAACTTATGATAACTCAAACTTGTCAGGGTTTTGAAGCGCAGCCATCAACAAGTCCCACCCACTTTTTCTCTGGAGTCTGGAGTTACTAAGTACAATAATGTGATATGGCTAGAATTCAACAAAGTTAGGGCTTAACTTTGTTCCTGTATGTTTGTGTTTCAAAGCAAACTAATGTTTCGAAGTTACAATTTTTGTAACTTTTGACTTATTACACCATCTTAAATACTTAAATAAATACTTAAATGCACTGTTTCAGCTACAAAGTAGTATCCTAACCAATACTGATAAATCTCATGGCTTGTGTTCATGCTAGATAATGTAGAACCTGGTGTTGCTCAGAGATTACAAATTTACAATAGCTCCATTTTCTTGTATTCATGTTTTTTGTTTTCCTTTTATATGCAACTTGTATAAACCTACTCACTGGAATATATCAGAAAGTTACATAACTTTTAATATAACGAAAATCAAACTCCTAATTCTTCAAAAAGAGGAGGACGTATCTCTTTAAAAGTAAAACCAAACTCTTTTTATTTACTTTTCCATCATAAAAGTAATCTTTCTCCTACTATTCATAACTTCCTTTAAGCAACTATGCTTATTTTGACATATTTTTGGTACTTTTACCCAAATATCATGTGTAAATTTGTATGCACATCTGATCATCAAGATCAAAATTATAAATATGTCCCTATGTGGGAACATTGAAGTATAGAACAATTTTTTTTCTACTCATGTTAGGTTGCTGTAACTGATGTTAGTAAAACACAATAGTTTAAAAAATTAATATAAGACAAAAGTACAAAACCCTATAACCTGAACACTTTCGAAAGGTGGACCATTCCTCATCAGGAGCAAACTGAAAACAAGGGCATTCCCAGTTTGCCCCTCATGAAGAAAGGCCCACCTTCCAAGTGTCCACAGTTTTGTATTTTTGTTTTCATTATAGACTGCTGCACTACATTTTCCCAATTATATTTCAATATCCAGATCTAAATTTTCATTAATTTTTATTATTTATTTACTATTTATATAATGAACAGTAAGGATAATATTTTACAAATAGTATAGTATTATTTTTATTTTACAAGTAGTACAGTATTATTTTTATATATGCGAGTCTTATAACAATGAAAGTTTTTGAAGTATGAACTTTACAAAAAGGATTATCACTTGGTCAATAAAAGCTGCTTCATGTGATGGAAATTCAATCTAATCTCTATGTGGATGTGATGTGTCATGACATGGCTGGAGATTGTCCACTGTCCACCCCTGGCTTACTGAAACGAAGTGGTGTTGTCACTAGAAAGCTGGCACTAACAAACAGAGGAAACTTGGCTTCCCTATCTAAACTCAGCACTTTAACTTCCTGTTTTAAAATCACGTACAGAAAAGAAACACAATTTAAACTAAATATCTTGATTTTGTATTATCAGCCAATCTACACTACTAGGTCTTGAATTAATACATCAGCTCTTGTTTAATATTAATCACAAAAACTATATGCTATTCTTAGAGTACTATATAAATACATAAATGATCTATGGTATTAGTATACTGACTTAAACATAAAAGTATTATCTTCCTGTGCTAACAAGATGTTTCACCTACATCAATAAATAATCATAAACAGTTAAAAAATTATTTATTAGTGTTCTACATTTTGGCATATATTCTACTCATGGATTTAAAACATCTAATATTACAGTATACTTTAACACTAGAAATTAAAGTTCTTAGAAAAGAACTTGTGATAAAGCATTTAGCAACCATGAATTTATTCAGCTTCAGTTTGTGTAGTATATACTTTAAAGATAATTTCTAAATTCCAGTTACAAATTGAAAATGTTAAGTCAAAATAATATGTTTTTTACACTTTTTTATGCTATAAAAATCTGCTTACTTTCATAAAAATTTACTGAAGTAAAAAATAGGAGTTTTCATTAAATATGTAAAAAAATGTAAAACTTTGCTGCTATCTAAAATTATAACTTGTAATACACTATCTCATAGAGAATACTGCTAGAAAATTGCTAACACTATTAAAATTATATTTCAAACTTTGTCTGGAATAACATAGGCTAACCTCCTGATTATTTATTAGTATAGCCCCTACTCTGAAATTAATATAAACTTGTTCTAGTCAAATTCTTCTTCCTTGGTGATTTTCATATGGAAGTCAAGGGGAAAAAAGTTTTTCTTATATTTAATAACTAAGTTTTAAATAATATAATTTTGAAAAAAGTGAACTAATGTCCAATTTTTGTTTTACAAAATTTTTCCCCTAAACACACACTAAAAAGATGCAATGTTACTAGAGAGCATCTAACGTGAAAGAAGTATAATCTTATCTGTTAAATATGTTGTTGGTAAACTAGATCTAAGATACAAAGGTTTAGGCCAATAATCATGCATAAGTGGGCAACCTTTGATTTAATAAAGAAATATATATTTACTGAGATATATTTATAAATTCATATGACAGTTATAAAACAAAAACGAATCTTAAACTAAAATGTATTCATAAATATGCATGTTCAACAAAATCATATGTGTAACTAATCAGAGTACCTCTTTAAAAGTTTGCAATCTCTGGTCATATCTGACTCAACCGTGTCTGACCAAAGTAAAATCACTATTTCCACGAACAAATATTAAATCAATTGATATACATGCCTCTTTCTTCCCAAGGGATAAGTTCTTTAGGCCTGAAGTTGTGCTGTAGATCTGTTGCCCCTGCTCATCCTGAGAAAATACTGTTAGTTTGTACATAAGGTGGCGTTTATTTGGTTGAGATGCAGAATGAAGATGGTGTGGGTCACCATTATGTTGATTACGCTTAAACCGGAGAGACCTGCAAAATGTTTTATGGATAAGCTTTTTAAGATAAAAAACATTTTATAGTTTATTGAGTTAATGAATTTGCAAGGTACACATCTAACATATAATAATCAAATAATTTTAAACAAAATCTTGAATCTGAGAAGATAGGCAATATAACAAGATAATATTAAAAGTATCAAACATATCTAAATATAATGAGAGTAGTTGACATAGGAAAAAGGAAAACTTATTAACAATATTAAAATGACAACATATACTGAAACACATTTTATAAGAAAAAATGAAGTTATATTATTTAAAGAATTACTCGAGTGTCTATTAAAACATTATAAACAAAGTTTGGTAAAAACTCTTTAAAATTCTATTAATTTTTGCTGTGTGTTTATAATTATAGAATTTTAATTATATTTTAACATTTTTCTCATACAATCGTAAATTGAAATTCTTTACTTAACAACTAACCACTTGAATAATAGTGCAACACAAAAGTAGTTTTACACCATTCAAAACTAAAGAAATCCATTTGTAACATACTTTCATATTGCAAAATACAAGTTCAGAACTCCTCATTAATTGTTCCTTTGTGTGTATTTACACAATTATTGGAAGAGAAAACAGTATATGAAAACAACAGTTCATATATAAATGTTGTGCAAACTGAATGAGATAGAGGGTTTTAATTTTTTCAAAACCTACTTCTGAATAGCTTTTCTTTCATCAAATCAACATACTTATCCATCTGTGTAAAACTGTAAACATATACCAAAAAAATATCGTAGTGCAGGGATTCCCAACCTTTTTGTTTCCCTCTACCCCTTGAGCATTCTCTCCCAAAACACTAATGGAGGGAGGAGAGCTTGCCCAGTTGGCTGATCACGAGTTTTTCAGCTGCTTTGTAACGAGGGTGTTCTGTATTGCTTATGTTCTACATTATTTATTGAAAACATGAGTTATAATGTAGCACAGCAATAACATCACAACATTCACCATGATCACAACTTTTGTCTAAAGAGCGTATATTTATGTGAGCCACTTTGTCTGACTGTAGATTAAAACATTATGTAAAGTGTAAATCATGGTTATACTCTCAGACCCCTATGTACCCCATGAGAAGTGTAAATGTACCCCAAGTTGGAAATGTCTGTCCTAGTGGATGTCATTATATAAAAGATGTGAAAACATTACGAGGTTTGGTTTTTGCACCAAAGATGATGTTAAAATGTAAATAGAAAAAGTACTGAAATTATTTTTGTATACACATGTTTGTGTTTGTACTAAACTAGTAGTGAGCCTCCCATTATCTAAAAGTAACTTCCAAAAAACTTTTGTTATATTGCCTACAGTAGATAATATTAAGCAAACACTACAGTGAGTGTCAACCAACTCATAATGTTATAAAACAGAATTAAACAACATTGTAATTGTTAAAACAACTTTAGTAACGATTTAGAAATATAGCTGTTTTGTATCATACAATTTTATTGTCACTATATTTTGCCACTGGTCATTTCATTCTATCTAATAGGCTAAAATAAATGCTACTTTAGAATGAACTTAAGTGTGTTTGGAATCACAATATTTTTTACACAATTCTGTAAAAGGATATGAATGCTGACTATAAAAAGTGTTCTGACAAATACACTGTTAAACTAAAACCACAACATTTCACCATGTATACCATTCAGATTTAGTGAACACACTTCAAGTTGCATATGTGTAACATAATATCAACTAAAGGTTCAGTTTTGGTTTGAAAGTAATCCATTATAAAACTAATAATTCTATACTTCTCTTTTAGCATATACATGTACAAGAAAAACAAAAATATGCAAAAAAGAAGTTCTCAACCAAAATTTAATTTCCCCCATCTGTTTAGATAAGCATGTATATCATAATATCTTATCTGCAGTAAACATGCAACTAAATTTAAAAATTCAAAAACCAAAACTTAAAGTGAATTAAAAATAAGGTCTACACTTGGTGAAACCACAATACTGTCTATACCTTCCAATGTAACTGACAACAATGTCCAGTCCAAAGTTAAAGCCAGTCCATCGCCAGATATGCTGAAAAACCATCCAAGCAATTATAATTTATTTCTAAAGAACAAAAATATATACATAACTAAAATAAACTTTAACATTATTTAATACTGGATAGCATTGACTCCCACTTTACTTGAAATTATTTGTTTTTGCCTATATAGTGACCATATAATTTAAAATATAATTACTAATTAATTAGAAGAACATTCATGCTACAAGTTGAAAATGTCTACATATGAATCTAAGTTTCAAATGGATAGCAACTGCCTGTTGTAGAAACCTACAAATGTGGAGGAGGATGTTTCGAAAGTCTTCCGCCTTTAAAATGCAGGTTTACTATTCATTAATACCTTCAAATATTGCTATATTTCACTTTAATATCAAACATATCATAACTGTTTATAACAGGTGATTTGGATTGAAAAAATTAGAGAATGAGCAAAGTATCAAGGGAAATATCCAAAATAAAATGTAGTTTCACCTTGCACAAAAACACAGCTGCAATTAGCCTGGGATTCCTTCCCATACCAAATGCATTAAATGAAAGTCCACAAGAAATATTAAATTAATTTTTTAATGGTTTACCCAGTTACATTAGTATCATATACAGTGTTAGAAACATGTATTTGTGGGACCATAGGTTTATTTCAGTACAATGTTTTGTCTCTAACACTGAGACATGATTACATACAACATTAAAATTACAAACAAGTCCAATCAAATAATTGTGTTTATGATACTAGCTGCATTTGTTTCTAATGTTAATAACTTAATAAAAAATGAAGATACTCTTCAGATTTTAATTACACTAGATTTTAATTCTTTTATTTTTAATGCTTCCAAGTTTTTCTTTTGTTTGGATTTTTCTCTATACTCTATTCAATACTTTTACATTTTAAAATTTGTTTTATATTGTTTTTTTTAATCATATGTTCATTTACATTCGACTCTTTTGTTTTTCATGTTCCTTGCACCTAGTCATTATTTTCTCATCTGTTTCTCCTACCTATATACTTTTGCAGTCTAAACATTCTATTCTATGCAATGTACCATTACCATATTTTTCATTATTATACAACTTTGGTGGGAAACTTTTAACATTGGTTCTTGGTTAAATTATGCTTTTAGTTTTTATATTTAATTTGATTTTTTTTTAACTAAGTTGTTACATAAGCTAATTAATTTTTCACTAATAACACCTCAAATTATTGATTCATAAATATAGGAACCAATATTAGAAGTGTTCTACTGAAGTTACATAATAATGAATAATATGGTAATGTCACAGTTTATAAAATAGAATATTTAGACTGCAAAAGATTATATATATAGGAGAATAAAAAACTAGTTGCAAGGAAAGTGAAAAAATAAAAAGAGCCAAATGTAAAGAAACGTATCACTGAAAAACAGTTCTAAAAATGTAAAAATACTTCCTGTCGAGATAAAATAAGAATCAAAGAATTAGAACCTAACATGATTATAATCTAACTATAACATCAGAAGCATCGTTATATTCATATTACTTTATTTACATTAAAAACCAGATGAAGCTAGTATCATCATAAACACAATTAACTAATTGGAAGTACTTATACTTTAAATGTTGTATATAATTATGTCTCACTGTTAAAGACGACACAAAACTGATATAAACCTACGATCCCACAATCAGCTGGTTCATAGGCTTTATATATGTACGATATTTAAGTGTGTATATCTTAAGAAGAAAAGCAGTAATATAATAGTAAAGTTTTACTGATGTAATATTAAGAAATGTTAGAAAAAAAAACATAAAAATGTTTCCTAGAGTAATTGTAAATTTTACACCTTTTTAAGTTGATTTCATTACCAGTCTACATTAGTTTTGAAATTTTAAAACTATAAAAGTATGTTGCTAATCATCTTGATAAGTGTCATTTCTATAAAATACAGGACTAAGATCACTTCAGAAGACATACTGTAAAATGATTAGTCACTGAAAGTTAGAAATTTGACTCCTAAAATGTAAACATAGGCCCTAATTACAAAATTAGACATAGTTTCTAGTTTTATCTATTTAAAAGTAAACCAGTTTTTATTGTTCTTAAACTCATTTACAAAAATTATATTGAATGTGAACTGCTATCAACAAATGATTAAAACCAAATTTAAACTAACATTTGAAAATTGAAAATGGAGATTCTCTAATGATAAAGATATAAAATGGATCTCATCCTCTTTATTAATATTTCCATCATACCTGTCCTTCTGCCAGAAGAATGCGTCCACATCTTAAACACTGGCTATTAAATTCATCGTCTGATAACTGTTTGGGTCTGAAAAAAATCTAGTATAAAAATCTTAAAATACTGAAACAGATCCTTTTATTGAAGTATGAAATATATTACAAGTGTACATGAAATAAAATTTTCAATAGAGACAACATTTTGTAAACTATACAAAACTATTTTTTCTCTTAAATTAGATATAATCAGATATAATGTGGTTTACTTATTTCATGGTATAAAAAAAAAAAGATACTAATACCAATATGGACATTAGGTCCCCTTATAGCAATACATAAAGAAAAGTTAATTGGCAAATTCAAAATATGCTCTTAAACATACTTTTACTAATGATTTTTCATAACTATAATTGTTTCTTATATTTTTGTACTTAACAAATTTGAAACACCAAAATAAGATATAGGATATTATATGATACATTTTCATATTAAACAAAAAAATACCAATATAAAAACTAAATATATTTCTTCAAATTTTCTGTAAATGTTTAAAAACTGAGCATTAATTTGAATGTAAGTAGAAGTACAGTTTAAACATGATCGTGTTCTATGTGCAAGTGTTGAAAAGCTGAGGTGACTATAATTACTTGCTACTGAAAGTGGTTAAAGAGAAAATTTGTAATTTTTTAAAGTGTTTTTATACATATTTAATCATACACATTTTTTAATGTGATATTATTACATACATCTTTCTAGATCAACTAAAAACATTACCTTATCTTTAGAGAAAGAATTTAAAGAAACATGTATTGATAAGTTATTATAAAAATGGTAATTTACAAACATCAAATTAAGTTAGTCACTTTTAAAAGAAGTTCAAATTTTCATACAATGTGCAAAGCATGAAACCTTACCCTCTGTCTACACCCTGATCAATACGTAACATTTGGTACCACTGGTTTTTGAAAACTGGATAAAACCAATCTGAAATATTTTATGAAATAACACTTAAAATGAAAAATACATTTAATGATCAATCAATACTGAAATAAATTATGTAAAAATGCTTATATTTTCAGCAAAACAGATACATCTTCAAAATTAAAATTCAAAATGTAATTATTAAAGAAAGAAAATAATATTTTAACAAATAAAATAACAAAATATACTATAGAATAATAACTGTCCATCAAATTACTTACATTACAAACTGTTTTTTTTTTTCCATCTATTAAAATATTTTTCATCAGATTCATGGTTCATAAGTCAGTAATAACTATTGCTTTTTAAAGAAATATGTTTTTGCATATTAAACTAGCTTAAAATTTGGAGAGGTCATAATTAAATGTAAAATTAAAAGTATCAAACATATCTAAATATAATGAGAGTAGTTAACACAGGAAAAAGGAAAACTTATTAACGATATCAAAATGACAACATATACTAAACCTAAATAGAAACTTAAAACAACCCATTATGAGAAACATGACTTAACTGAGAAGGTAAGACATATTAGTGATGATCTACTTAATAACAAGATGGTAAACAGGGTAAAACATATAAATGACAAAATGATAATCATTCAACAAATTTATGTTAATTTTAAAATACTACATCTTCCCATACATGTGGTTCTATATGGAAATGAGACTTTTGACATAATTTTCTCAATGTTTGTCCCAAAGTCTCGTTTTAATGTGGGACCAAATTTTGGGACGTGTAAAATTTCAAATAACAGAATATTAGAACAGCATTTTATTGTGCACATAATTATGTAAAGTGAGAAAATTAGTTTGTTGGAAAAATTCAACAACTCATTTTATTTAAAATAAATTACATACCTTTTTTTTACACTAGTTTATTACTCAGGATAAAAACAAATATTTCATTTTGTGAGTAAAATTCTAACGTCATAATCCTTTTTAAAGGTCAACATGCAACCAAACCTTTTATCTAATTACCTCACTTTCACAACAACATTAGCTCAACTGCAAGTACTTACCAATTGGCACAATATGATCAGCTTCTAGTAACTCCACATCTAAATGGTGGTTCACCAGATGTTGCAAACGGAGGGCCTTAAAAGTTGGAAGATACTGACTCCCTCGAGTAGTATCTAGGAAGCACCTGTCTGTTAAATACAAAATAAATCATACAATTTTTCACAAAAAGAAGGTAAAAAAACAACAAAGAAACTGAAGTGATTTAAAAAAAGAAACACCTAACTTTATGGTTAAAGCCAGAAGACAATACTTTCTTGCCATACATGTGGTGTTCCAAAACAACATTTCTGATATTAAAATGCATGTTAGTTGCTTTCAGTTAAATAAAAAAAAAACATTCTTGTTCCTACAGAGGATTTCAAGAATCACTTATCTCCAAAAATGATAAACAGTATGATTTAATAAAATGAAGGATTCTAAAAAACACTTTGTAAGACAGTGAGGTAGAGAAGTTCAACAAAATTATCTTTTTTATTATGATCTATACAAAACAGTCATTCTTTCTATTTTGATACACATTACAAATTAATAGTTCACAGGAAATATTTAAAGTTGAGAACCTTAACACTGTACAGTATACATACATACAAACTTTTTTGTTCAAAACTGTCAATAAAAAACACACACATTAGATTTTTTTCTGTAGAATAAAATATTCTACCAGATATTTTGATCACTGAAAGCCATTGCTATATTTTTCACAAAGCACAAGTTAAAGGTAAAAGAAGTGAATAATACCACATTCATTGAGCAGTTAATCCTAATTCAGAAGGCTGTATTATAATAAATGACATTGTAACACAAACCAAATACATATACACCTATTAGATTATATATGTATATTAACAAAACTTTTAAGGACTTTAAAAGGATATTTTCTTGTCTTTATAAAATGAAATCCAGTAATTTTTTGTTAAGTACTAATTAAACATGGACAAATTTTATGACATACTGCCATTACTGTTTGCTGTAAACAGTTTTTCTTTCTTTTTTGCTGAATAGTATTTTTTAAATATTGTTCTGAATTCCAAAAGTTATACTATCTGTCTAAGAACAAAAGCAACAATCAAATTTCAGCATAATCAGGATGTTTATTTATTGGTAGAATTAATAATTCAGTATATTCATAGTTTTCTCTGACTATATTAGAATGCCCTTAAAATCGTTTGAGTGTTTTTAGTTGATTGCTAAAGTGTATAAAATGAGCATATCTAAAGAAAAAGACTTCTGTACAAAAGTCAATATATTCTCATTTTAAGTCTTACATCTGATCAAAATATGATTACAAAAGCATTCTGTATTCCCCATCAGAAACTTGCCATGATAAGAATGCAAAATGTTTCAACTTACAGTTTATAACAGATTTAAACACATAAAAAAACTTCACTTGATAAAAACAATTTTTTAATTTTGAAGATATGTTGTTTAATGTGGCTTATCAGAACAGTGCTGCAAATATTGTCATTCTAACACACACACACACACCAATACTTCCTTACAAAGCAAGCTCTATTGTAATGAACTTCTGCAAGGAATGGAAAAGGAAATATTCATTAATTTTTAGATGTGGCTGGAGGCTTGTGTGCCTTTGGCAACTTCAAATCCTTGTTTATTATTTTGTTAAGGATACCATAAGATATGGCCAGTTTCACATCTATGACTTTTTTGATTGGAGGGCTATCTTTCATAACCAAAGACTTCACTTTGCAAATGAGATCATTGATTTGGATTTGCTTGAGATGTGGTTTCAGAGTGTTGCTGTCCTACAGAATGAGGTTTTCTGTTTCTAATGGGAATACTGAAAGTTCCCTTCTTCTAAATATTGTGTCCATTAGCTCTACATCATTTAACAATCTAAATATACAAATATTTTGTACCAGAAAGAGTTGTGACATACTTTAAAACAAACTGTTTAGCTGGTGGCATTACACTGTTAAATGGTAGGGAATTCACAGGAAATGTTTAGGTGCTGAACATGATGTCTGTGACACCTCAGCTCACATCTGCAGCAAAAATGCTACTGCATCAGCATATGCAAGTCATTCTTATAAAATGTAATTAACCCCCTGTTCTTAATTATTGTCCACATAAACCTATAGGTGCAAGTAATTTAAGCTAACTAAAAGCATATGACGTGTGTATTAAATAAGGAAAATAATATAGTGAAGATTTTTCACACATATTTTGTGTTGGTTTCTTAAAAATATAATCAAAGTGAGACATTGCCCAAAAAAATTAAATACCTCTTTCATTTTAAGTACTTTTGAATGAGAAAGATGTGTTGTAACAATTAAAACATTAATTTATTTATCCAATGGTTTGGTTAGAATTAGTAATAATTATATTATTCACCCAGTTTGTGAAAAGCCAGACAAAAACTGACTGAACAAATGACACAGAAGCATGTACACATTGTTGCACAGAAAATTATCATCATCAGTGTATGAGATCTCAGTTATAAGCACTGAATTTAACTTTACTGGATGACATATCTATAATGCAGCTGTGAGTGCATATTCAAGACATAAAAACATTAATTTAACTCCTTGATAAACAACTGACATTAAAGTAGTAAATTGGCTATCACATTAAAATAAGATAAATGTTCTAAATTGTGACTTTAATATGAAATTTTTAACTAACTTAAATATATTATAATTGTGTGAAATACTTTGCAAATAACAAAACAAAAGTTGAAATTGAAGCCAGTTTTCACATGATGAAAATGACATTGTGCCATCATGTAGCTTACTCACTGTGTTAAAAATTTTTACTAAGCAAAAAGCAGGGAAGGTGATTCTGAATGGAAAAGCCAATATGCAATCTGTACTCCTCAGGCCTTTCTAATGATATGAGATTTGTAGCATTTGATCAATATGTTTATGAGAAAAGTTCAGAACAGACAAACACAAGCATATTATTTGTATAAAGGTAAGAGCCAAAAAAAGTATTTTAACCAATAAACATAAAAGTTAAGAAGATTATGTCAAAAACCAACTTCGGTAAGTTGTGATTTTATTCATAAATAATTAGGCCTAATGATAAATAATACTTTGTCATAATCAGCATTTTTTTGCTATGACACTGAAGTTTTTACACTACAAACTTAGAGCATTTTAGGATTTGTCACTGCCATGATCCAATTTAGCTGATGAGATCTGGTTGTTAGAAGAAGGACTCCTGGGCAGTGACTCATGACAAACAAAAAATAGACCTGAAATGTTTATTTGTAATATATCTCTAATCTAAGGTCTTGAAAGAGCTAATTAAGAAAAATGTTTCGTTAAATATTTCCAGTAAATCATGACTTGAGTCACACATATTCTGCCTAATGATAAAAATGTGGTCTTATCCATATCTTCCAAGTAATTCTTTTACAAATTACTCAATAAAAATTTTTAAAAAATAAAATATAACTTTGAGATTCTAATTTATGGAGAAAGTTAAAAATTATTGTGTGATGCATAATAAAAGTAGTGCTGTTAAAATCCTTTAGGAACAGGTTAAGTTTATATAGTAAGAGCATTTGTAATTTTTCAGTTCATTCTACATAGTAACCACCAGATGGAAAGCTACTTTAATTTCTTTTATTATTCATAATGTGTTACCTGAATGACTTTGAAAGAACTTGTGAGCTTCTAAGACACATTCTTTAGGATCTCCTTCCCAGATGATATTTTCTTGAAGAAAAGTCCACTACAAGAACAACAAATTTCAAAACATTAATAATAATAATGAGGATTGAAATACATTAAAATACTCAACAATCAACATTGTATAATATACAATTAAAACTTTATTTAAACCAATCAATGGTTGAGGCCCTCTACATGTTTTGAGATTGTTCATGTCATCCTCAAGAGTGTGAAAAACAGATGCTGTGCAACACATAAATACAAAAAAACCATGGTCATGTGATTACTAGTTTACATATATATAAAAAAGATCACACCATCTACTTACTTTCTGATTTTCTAACCCTTCATCCTTATTTAAGATGAAATTATTTTTATAATAATTTTCATTATTTCTTTGGTTTCTCTAATAGTTCTAGTCATTATATTACTTGGTTGAGCCAAAATAACAGTTTTTCTCCACTGGATAACATGAGCAGTATAATTTGCATGTTCAGCTGGTGCAGAGTTTTCACTTTTGTTTTTAATATTTCTCTTATGTTCATTTACTCTAGATTTTAAATTTCTTCTAGTTTGACCAATATAAACACCACCACATTCACATTCAATTTTATAAATACCCATATTCTCCACTAAATTGATTCCATCTTTAGTTTTATTTAGTATTTTCAAAAAAAGAAGATTTTATTACAGGATTGGAAACAGGTTTGAATAAAATTAAGGATATTAATAAAGTTGATATCATTAGAGCTGAATGTAAAGAGTTAATAAATAATTTTAAAGTCAATTTGAAGAAAAATTAAAACGTACAAGTCTTGAAGTCATTAAATGACTGGAATATTGCTAATTGTAAAGCTGACAAAGGAGGTCAAAAAGTTATCCAAAACAAAAATGATTATACTAAGAATGTTGAGAAATTGTTAAATTAAGTAGTACCTATATATGAAAAGGTTAAAAAAAAATCCTCTTAACAGACTTCATGAATTGATTGAAGAAAATGTTAAACACTGTATAAGCTTTCAGTGGTTGGCACATTATTTACTCGCAGTTTGTCTTCAAAACAATTAATAGCTTTATCAGTAGATACTTTCATGAATAGTGATACAACATCAAAAGATACAAGTATATCATCATTATTTAGATTTACCTTACTTTATTTTTCTACACATTCTCTAGAACTTTTAATTTTATAACTTTTTTATCACTTGAAAAAGAATACTTGCATGCTAAAGATTTAACTACATTGTAAAAGAATGAACCTATAGTTGATACTATGGGTCTGCAGGAATCTCCTATTTTGTGAACTGTTGGTAAAGCATAAAATATTGGAAGTTCAAAACTATTTTGAACCAAAGATTTTTTCTCTGGGGAAGTTAACTTTGTATGACGTGATTCTTGGTGTGGCGATATGATAACAGAAAAAGATTTATGATAGACTGTAGCTTCTAACTGATTTTTGTTTTTCTTAATTAATAAGTCCAAAAATGGTAAACTATTATTTTCTTCAACTTCATATGTAAGTTGAATAGTGGGTTCAAGACTAATCAAGTAATTAACAAAAACTAGCACGTCTTCCTTACCATGTCGCCACACCACAAAAGTGTCATCGACATACCTAACCCATATATCTGGTTTAAGTTTAGCATTCTATAAAGCAACAATTTCAAACCTATCCATGAAAAGATCACACAGCAAACGAGATAATGAAAACCAATAGCTAAGCCTTCAGTCTGTTTATAGATCTTGTTATTAAATTGAAAAAATGAATCTTCCACAAAAGTTTGTGTTAAATTTATCATGTCTAAAATCTTATGTTTACAGGTCTTTAAAGCTATGTTCTAATCCATAAGAATTAAAAAATAAACTGATATTTATCAAATATGTAGCATTACGTTTCTCAACTCATATGTTGATACAGCTGTGAGAAAATTTGACAAAATATCAAATAATGTTAAAAAAGTAAACTAAAATCAACATTTGATAAAATAGATAAAAAAGAAATGTTATTTTTAACCACATGTCCCAGGTTTGTCATGTCAAATCTTTTGTGAATTTAAAAAACAAAACAAAAATCTCATTTCATTTATAGACCATTCAATAAAATTTGTCAAGTATTAAATAAAACTAAAGATGAAATCAATCTAATGGAAAAAAAAATGGGTATTTGGCTCAATCAAATAATATAAAAGCTAGAAATATTAGACAAACCAAAGAAATAATGAAGCACAGTAAAATAGTTTCATCTTAAATAACAATGAAGGGTTTATTTGTTTGTTTATTTTAAGTTAAGCAGAAAGCTACACAATGGGCTATCTGCACTCTGCTCACCACAGGTATTGAAACTCAGTTTCTAGCATTGTAAGTCCACAAGCATACTGCTGTGCCACTGGGGGGCAGAATGAAGGGTTAGAAATCAGAAAGTAAGTATATGGTGTGATCTTTTTTAAATATGTAACCTGGTAGTTACATGACAATGACTTTTTTGTATTCATTTGCTGCACAGCATTTGTTTTTCACACTTTTGAGGATGATGTGAACAACCTCGAAACATGTAAAGTGACTGTTTTACGATCAATGATCAGTTTTCAAATTTAAAAAAATTTAATTGCATATTATACAACATTGATCATTGAGTATTTTAATATATTCTAAATATTCATACAAGTTTCCTTGAATTTTATCCATCAGCAATGAGGGTTGTATAATTCTAACAAGAGGAAATCCTCAATAGCTGTGACACTTGAAATTTTATTACTCAGGATTAGAATAAATTAATTTATGAGACCATTTTTTTCCCTTTTTATTAGCTATATTTTTGTGCATCAGCAATATCAAGCATGGGGCATGCATATACCTTATTCGATTTTATTACTCATCAGGATCTCTACCAGCCTACCCTCAAACTGAAATTATTTTAAGCAAGATTAGAGTAAATTAATCTATGAGATTTGATGTGTGGTCAAATTCATCAATCAAAAGGATTTGACATCGTGAGTCCAAAACTATAATTAGATCTCAAATCAGTCAAGAGATGATGGAGTACTTGAAAAACTCAGAGCCAATATATGCCACGGCTAAAGCACAATACAGTTACATTTGTTACTACATTTATTACACCATTAAAAATACAAAATTTAAAGTAATAGGTCTCACAAAAATTATCAATTTAAGTATCTGACACAAATTATGCACTCCCATAAGTGTATCCAAACTTTTCAACAATTAAAATGAACAAAATAGGAAACATTAAACTTCAAATGTAAACTGTGTTTATATAAATATTTTCCAGTGAAAGACCAACATAGAAAGCAGAAGAAAAAAAAGGGATGATTCAAAGAAACAATCTTTTCTTCATCTTATTTTTTATATAACATCAGAAATTAGACAGTTTAAGTTAAAGTAACCACGATTTTCATTGAAATTAACTGTTTTACTTACAGTTTTCAGTAAGATATAAACAGAGAATTCTGTTTGCATCACTACAAGATCAGGTGAAGCTACCAGTTCTTCCATTAAGGAGCAGCTAAAAGGAAATGTTAGCAAAGCCTTCAAAATAGTATTCCTATAATCATCCAGAACATTTAAAATGATCTGATTTAATTCATAACTTTGTGAATATAAAACACTGATGAATAAGGTCAAATGTTTACTTTTTAAACAATCAGAATCAGCATCTGGGTTCTATAACATATAATAAAAGAAATTAAAAATTAAGTCAAATAACAAACAAGTAACAGAGGTAATAGAATTTAACTGCTTAATAAATTAGATATCAAACAAGATAATTTACTAATTTCAAAAGAAACCTCTTTATCTTCTAAGCAAGGTTTCATTGATTTTATAATCCCCATATCCAATCTATTCTAATCTTTACACTAATATAAGTATTGGAACTTTATATTTAGGATTTAGCTTCATCTATAACAAAATAGTACTAGTGATTATTTTTAAGACATCATGGTGCAAGAATACACAATAAAATTTCTTATACAAACCTTACAGGTAAAACTATTTAAGTCACTAGAGCCAACTTTTGTAGTTGTCTAGTCATGTCTTTTACAGTTTTTTTAAGTACATCATTATTAAGATTTAAGAGAGAGCAATGTAATTGAATAGAAATATATAAAAAAGTATTATTATAAAAATATCATAAAAAGGTATATTTTTCTTAAAAACAATAAATATGTCCAAAACTGTTTGTTAGAAATTATTTAAAAGTTCTCATCAAGAATTAACCAGTCGCTGTTAATTCAATTATGATTTAGTTGTTTATTTTGTTAACAGCAAATCTACTAATGCTATCTGCTGTCATCTCTAATTTTGAACTGTCAATTAGAGGGAAAGCAACCAGTTAACAACACCCACTGCCAACTATTGGGGTAGTCGTTTACCACAGAATAGTGGAATTGATTATCACATTATAACACCCACATGGCTGAAATGGTAAGCATGTTCAGTGGCAAGAAGTGCAACAGTAAAGTGTTTGTTTAGGCAATCACTTTGCTGAAAATAATAATAATTATTATTATTATTTTAATAACCTTTAAAGGTTATACAAGTAACTCTATATTATAAAGAAGTTTTTAACATATTCTCCACCAATAATAATAATACTAAATTAGTATTAACTTATAAAGTTTTATTTTAAGGCCTATAGGTTTGATACACTTGTACTGATAAAATCTGTTTTATTCACGAGACAATCAAGCTGAGAAACAAGAAAACATTTCCCACTGAAGACAGATAAGGTAGTTTTTCAAGCATAAACAACATAAATGTTGTGTTTTTTAAAGTTTTTTGAGTTATTCCACAATTTTCAATGTCAGCATGTTTATTGTTGTTTGTGCTGTTTTTACTTTTATTAAAATGAAAGACTGTTGATAACTATTGGCTTATTCTGTTTGTAATTTGGATATTCATATTAGGACTGATGTTACCAGGGTTATTTCTGTACTTACTTAATTTGTTGAAGATGACGAGTACTATCTTGTACAGAAGACATTAGGTTTCTGAGCAGCCATCCCTTGGTCTTCTCTTGAACAGAAGCAAGACCATATTGAAGAGCAGCTTCATGGTATTTTAATACAGTGTGAATACTGTGAAAGGATAGAATTATACTCATTAGTTAGAAACGTGGTATAAAAATACATACACAAAGATATATAAAAACCCAAACCGTTATTGTAATTTCTCTATTAACATAAGACTTATGTTAGTTGTTTCCATTAAGCCAAAAATATGCTTTTTAAGAAACATTATTTCGGACTTTGCATATTTCATCAACTGACCATAATCAACGTATACAATACAGTATATACGAATATACCACTTGGTTCCATCTTCTTTTAGTATTATTATATTTATTCTGAATTCAGTTTTTGTTTTGAGTATGTACTGGTTTCACATAACACATGGTCAAGAAACCCATTAAGTTGATCTACTATGTAAGGATGTGTAGTGTTCTTCACTGGTTGTTCAGATGATATATAGAGGTTATACCTCCATCTATGTTGTAATGAGAATGGCCAACCATGTAGATAAGTCATGTTGCTCATTGTAAAGATAAAATTTACTGCAAACCAAGAAAGCTTACATTTAAATAGTCTGGTATGTGGTTTCCACTTAAATGGTTGGAAAAGAGGAGCCAGTGAAAGTAATCAAATTATCCAATGTAAGTAAAACTGCAAGTACACACAATGAGTTTATTTTTCATTTTAAAAAATTATGCATTTTGTTTTACACTTTGTTTCCAATCTCATTACTTCATTTTACATTGACTCAGCAAGATATTTAGTGCTACTCCATAACTGATATCTTGGAAAAATCTCCTATTATCTAGTGAATTTAAACCAATGTAGTTCTACCTGGATATACCACAATATCACCTTTCAAGTACATGCAATGACTTTTCAATTTTACTGTTTACAGTATTATACATTCTTAAATTCTGGTATCAACTGGTGGTACTATACATGAGGAGAAAATCACTTTTCCATGGAATGCCATTTGCATCAAAACTGTTCTTAATTTCCTGAATCACTTTCTTTGCTCCATGAATAATTAGAATTTTACATTAAGTTGATCTTGTTCAAGAGATGTGACTTGGGAGCATTGACATTCAACATAAAACTTTACAAAACATCTTCATTCCAGGAAGTAATAATTCCACTGGAATAGAGATACTTGTAAAACAATGTTACCAGAATACAGCTACTGAAATAGGGAATATTCCATTGTACTTGAGGAAAGGCTGAATTAAAACATACAAAAGCTTTAAAGCTTTGTTGGAAGAAAATATATGTTGGAGAAACAGAAATCTTATGTTTAAGAATAAATTCACATAAACCTCATGTCAAAAATGCAAATCATAGTCCATTACCTGTTAATAAACACAGTAATAAGTATATTGTGGAAAAATATCATACTTTAAAAGAACCTTTTCTCCACATATTTCCATTTTGGTACTTGTGTTAAAAGAGATTTCATAAAAATTATTTTATTAATGAATTTAAAAGTACATTAAATATTACATTTAACACACAGAGGGACCTTAAACATATATAAAGCTTTAAGGCAAAAAAAAAACAATTTGGGAACTTTTATATTGTTAAGTAGGTCTTGATAGAGAGCCTTATTTCAAAAACTGAAGAGTATCTTTGAAAGATATGAAACCAGCATTTATGTTTTATGCATTGTTTTATATTTATTTGTTTTAAATTAACAATAATAAAAGTTTTTTTTAATATTTCTATATTGTTTTATTTTTATTAATAACTTCCCTGAGCAAAATATATTTGATTCCTTGCATGTACGTGTGTGTATATATATTTCAGGTGTCCCAAAAAAAATTCACACATTATAATGTGGTCTAGAAACATACAAAATCTGGAAATTACCAAATAATGAATGCATTTATTTAAAAACAAATGATGGAAGTTTATATTCCCATAAACCCTTTTCAAACCAGATGTTCAACACAGGCTCCAAATTTACCAATAACAGCCTGTAATCGGACTACCACATTGTTCATCACTTCTTGAATGCTTGTAGGGGAATGTTCTGAATCTCCTGGAAGATATTGTCCTTGAGCTCATTAATAGTTCATGGCCTGGAATTAGCATAACTTCTGTTATTTAGATAACACCATAAAAAGATGTCTGGAGATGACAAATCAGGTGAACATAGAGGCCATTTCACATTCTCATAAAGAGAAATCAGTCACTGTTAACCAGGTTAATTATCGTCAAATGATTGAGGAATTTTTTCTTCCTGAACTATGCAAACAGTCTTGGTGAAGAAATTGATATGCTCACATGAGAACACAGTGGTTCAAGCAGGACAGGGCAACTCATACAGCCAACAAAACAAGGTGTTACCTTCATGAAAAATTCCCAGACTGACTGATTTCTCTTTTTGAGGATGTGGAACAGCCTCCATGTTCACCTGATTTGTCACCTCTAGACATCTTTTCATGGGGTTATCTAAAAGACAGAATTTATGCTAACCCCAAACCTCAGACTATTAGTGAGGTCCAACTAATAAACAATAACTTGTAGAATCTTCAAAAGCTGTAGTATTATTTTTTTAAACCTAAGAAAATCATTACTAGTAAGATTGTAATAATTACACCCACTGACTTAAAGATTATTTCCTTCTTAAATGCTTGAATAATGAAATTTTCCACTTTCTAAAATTATTTTGTTACTCTATTATTTATCCATGTTTTTTATCCTATTCCCATTTTAAATGTTTCTTTGATTGCTAAACAATTGGAAATTAATTTAAACCTTAAAGAAATGTATAAGCTATTTGTACCAAAAAACAAATATTAATTTTTAACAATAAAAGTAGTACTATTTATCCTACTGCATATTACAATTTTGAATACCCTAAAACTGAGTTAAATTGTAATTTAGATTTAGTAGTTAAATATATGCCAATATATCTCCAATTTATGATATTTGCCAACAAGATTAATACACACAGTTTTCTTTTTTTTAACACAAATACGTTTTAATATACAAACAACAATACAATTTACAATAACAATTACTATAAATAATTATTACAAACAGTGATTTATATACAAAAGTTTTACAAACTTACAAACAATATAAAGTCTTCATTCTAGTCTGAAACTTCCTTGATATCTTATCGAGGATTCACAATGAGCGAACTAATTTTGAGTTGATGTAGGTATAATTCACTTAACAGGGAGCTAGCTAGCCCTGTAGTTCTCTCTGATCACACACCGATTTTTTTCTACTAGTGATGTTAGGTAATTTTTTTGTAAAAGTAATAATGTCCAATGTGAATCCACTGAAGTTAAATGGTTTGTAATGTTCGAAATTTATAAACATTCCTGGTCAAATATCTTAAGTTTCCCGATTAATAAGCATTATAACAACCACAGTTATAGTTTTCGAAGTTTATAGCAGACCAACTATAGCAAACCAATAACAGATACTGCTTTTTGGCACATCGCATTGGTTCTATTTATAGCTGTGTGGAGAGTTTCTTGAACATTCAGATTATGTAACGATACAAAGCTACATTAGCATTTACATACACACATATATTGTTGGTTCTTACATTCGAGAATCTTTTACAAATTTAGAAAATAGGCAGGAGTTTTGCAATACATATTTAACAATATAATTTATGTACATTTCTAAATATAAATCTAACTTAAACAAACATCGATATTAAAATAAATATAGAATAATAAATCCTTCACAATCCAAAGAAATATTCAATGCTGAAGAAAGTTAAAACTATTTAAAAATATATTACTTACGAGTATATGTACAAACACGTAAGGAACTAAATGTATTTATAAATGGAAAGCTCCTAATGTCCATAAAAAACAGAAATCTAGGAAATGGCAGTTATTAATCTAAAGTTTTTCAGCTTTTATCCTTCTTAAATCTGTAGAAACAGTTTTCTCAATGAAAGAATGAGAGACCATGATCACAGGCAAAAAACACAAAATATAGTGTTAAAATTGTGTATGATGAGTGTATCAAAATTAGAGATTCGGATACACACAGGCAAGATGGTATTAAGATTGTGCATGACAAGTATTCCGAAGTTAGGAAGATACATATTCACACACAAGATATTAAAAGATGTTAAAATTGTGTTTGAAGAGTGTACTATGTGACGGATTAGGCTATTTGAAATTGTAATACATAACAACCATGATTCACACACAAATGGTGTTATGCAGAGTATACAGAGTTAAGGAGATTGAGATTCACACACAAGATAAATGTTAAATTGTGTATGAAGAGGTATCAAAGCTTTGGAGATACAAATTCAAACTGAGAAGTGATTATAAGTGTGAGTGAAAGAACAGCATAAGTTTAAAAAGGCCAAAGAATCTTAGATAAAGTCTATGAATATGAAAAATCCAAAAGCTCATAAAAACCCAAGATAAAGAATAAAAGGGGAAGACTGCCGTTCAGATAGGGATGCAAATAGATGAAAGTAGACAGAATTAAACAAGCATTCAGGACTGCATATTCTATAGCTGAGACTGACTTCTCATTCACTACATATCATGAACTCTGTTAACGATTAAAAATGAATGGTTTTGAAATGGAAAGTATTCCATTTTCAAATATATCTAGTGCCAATATAATTGAATTTACTACAGATGAAAAAACTAGTGTCACATCTGTTTCAGAAGAACCACTTGCTTTGAAGATGGACAAATCCATAAGTCAGTCCAAAGCAAGCACTATCATTGATTATGTAAATACCACATTTAACAGAGTGTGCATGAACATTTCTCTGAACTTATTATTAGAGTCAGAGAAAACCACGTGGAAACGTATGCTGTGGTTTTTAAAAAATATCTGGAAACATGTCAATGACTAAGTTGTTAAAAAATTGGGATAAACAGTACTTTTGTTCTGATGATGAAAGCAGCATCACGGCTCAATAAATGGTGCAATGAAGAAGAATAAAAGAGAGCTCCAGACTGATTTGTCTGTGTTTCACTGAGTGAATTACAAATTAATTGACTATGAATACTGCAGTTAAAATGGCCACTTCCATTTCACACTCTGAGACACTTCTGAATAAGGTCTATAGTGTTTATTTGATGTTTCCCAAAAAATAGGAAAATAGAGTATTGGGGTCAGTTTGACATCATCAGTACAATATTTGACAAAATTAGCAAAATCAGTGACAGCTCGCTCAAAAATAGAGACATGACTGTCTTTGTCAAAACTGGTATCCTGCATCGAGAACATTTTGAGCCACAAATAAAAATACCTGCAAATGCAAAGAACACTACTCAAATAATTAAAACATCTATGTGCATTTCTTTCAGATTCTATTGGATAACATCATTAAATAGTTCCAGGTAAAAGGTAAATTAATGAAAAACTTTATATCAGAACAAGTGTGCTGCTGTCTCATCAAAAAAGTGCAAATGAGACATTCAAGCACGAATATTCAGCATTATTCAGTAAGGAATCACATAAACATGAAAGTCATTAATTCCATTCTGTCAACAATAATGACCTGGACATGGCCAGCTTCATTGCAGAGTAGTGTGATGTACAGGTAATTAAGAAAAATCATCATTCAGTAGCTGATATGCTAACTGGAAAGAATCCAAAGAAAAGTATTGCAGTTATTCATTGCCAAACTATACTAAAGTAAGTTCACTTTCTTATACGTAATTGTATTTTTTTTTTCTAACTAAGTCATGATTTGTTTAACTTTTACATATTCACACAGGACTGAAGTAGAATACAGGTCATTGTATTAAAGTAGGACTGATTAAATACACTACATAATTTCTGCAAGAAAATATTTAAAATAAAATGAACAAATAGACAGCCTTTCAGTTTCACTTTTCATGCCCTATAAGCTTTAGAAGCCATTGTGTCAAAGCCCCTTTGACTTGCTGTATGAAATGCCACCCTTCACTAACTTCCCTATTAGAAGTCTCTCCCCCTTTAGAAAAATAACAAACAAATGATTGATTATATTCAAGTCGTGTAGAAGAGGAGAATAAAATAACTTTTTTCACATTAAATTTTATTATCACTGTAGTTCTGCTTAATACATTCACTTCTTTGTGTAGAAACTTTCTTACAGATGGGTGGTTCAGATTTGCTTTTATTTTTCTTATTCCAGTTTTATCACAAACATGATTATGATCATGTGAAACACATCTAATGGTATCTTAATCATAAATAAATAAATAAATCTTATCCACTCACTTGATGGTTTCTGCCACAATCTCAGTACATTGTTGTATAAGACTACCCTACAACAAAATATAAACAATATATACATCATACATCTGTAACAGTATAAACAAGAAAACAGAAATGCTCGATATTTTTACTAATTTAAACAAATGACTGGTCTCCTTTAATGTTATACAAGCATATACAAATCTTCTACTGTTGAACTTTTATCAACTTTAAATTATCACGACAACTCACCAGTTGAAACAATGTCGCAGCTGCCACAACTGGAATAACTTCAACTGGTTCAATAACAATTTCATCTTGGTAGAATGATCCGAAAACAATTCGCAAGGCTGTAACAAAAATTATTTGTATTAAATTGTTTTACGAAATGAATTTAGAAACACATCATACTTTTTTTTGAAAGACAAAGACATTACTTTCCATTTACTACCTAATGTCAACTAACTTAAAATCAAGAAATTAACTTTCATAGTTTAATATATGTCAATTAATGGAATGCATCATGTGATTTTGAAATCAAGACAGACAGAGAGCATGAAGATATAAATTTTGTGTTAGTTGGTTACTTTATACAAAATAGTTTTAACACTGTGTATTGTTATTATCTTTACAGATCAATCTTCTTTGTTTATAAATGTGTCTGGAAAGCTCAATTTTTAAAGAAAATCTACGTATTGTGAAATCTGGTTTCTATTACTACAATCATCTAAAATTCAGCATGCTTTTTGAATCCATTAATAATTCCAATGTTTCTGGACAAATACTTTCTATATTTCTAATGAGCCAATAAAGTTCTTGTGGGTGAATACGACTATAGTGTGCAACAGAAGCATGCTGGGTGTCAGGGAGGAAAAGTGTTTTTTTGTTGAATTTGAAATGAGCAGAATGTGTTGTTGTTTTTTTCAGTCTGAAAATTTATTTCATTTTCTTTATAACCAAGTTTTTAAAATGCAATCTCTTGTGCTCTTTAAGTTTAATTTTTACAGTTTCTTTTTTTTGGGGGGGGGCTCTAACTTATTTAAATCTGAATTCAAAGTGGGTTTTTTTGAGGAATTTAATGAGCAGTATGAAATGTTTTACTTTCTGTCCAAAAGTTATATTTCTTTATAACTACATGTATAATCTCACTTTTTCCATAAGTTTAATCTAAATTTTTTAAGTTGTTATTTAAAGATGAATTTACTTAATGTTAGAATAACTGATTAAAAATTCTTCTTATTTCAAGTTTTATAGTTCATTTCACACTTGTTGAATATCTTTGTTAAACAGTGGATTTTGATTTTGCAATTAGGATTAGGACTTTCTTTTTTTGTTTTAGCTTAATTACACATGAACTAGTCCCACCATGTTTAGTTTGTAATTTGTTTAGTTTATCATAGTAAGTTATTGATGATTTAGTTGGTCAGATCTATATCTACTTTATTTCATTATATATTTATGATATAATAACATGCTAGATGATGTCTTATAATATTATATTCTACTGTACTTTTAAGTCAGTCACCAAATATTTCTATTCTTCAAACTAGTTCATGCATTTTAGTACTAAATATGGTTCAGCAGGGTGATTTTTAAAAGAAGAATGTTACAGTATGACACATAATATCTGTGGAGTAGTTTTCTGTAATAGGCAGTACCATACAGTGCTTTACATTTTAGATTTAGCAACTTTGTCAAGATAGGCTCAAAGCAGTGAGTAAAATGAAATAAATATAGTTTAATCTGTTTTCAAAGGAAGAAATTATACATAATAAAATAGGGTAGAGAGTCTTCTAATGTAATTACTAAATTCATAAGTTTTAGAATTCAAAACCAAAGTAAAATGTATAATACTGTCACTTACCATCAATGGTAATATTAGGATCTTCAATGCCAACACTAATGATTCCTTCCTCAGCTTCTCTCCATGAACCACCAAACATACTGGAGAAATAAGGAGACTGAAATATATGTATTAATGTTTCAGAAAATAATACATATCTCAAAATTTCAGTGCATTAAATTTTACAAATAAATAATTATAAGATTTTGTTTAGATTAACATTTATTCAATACTTAACAAAAAAAATCATGTTTTAGATTGTGAAGAATATATTTAACTCCTTAAACCTGTCTCTTTGGTTGAAAAGTAATCCAAACCATGTTATTATCCACCTTTTACAAATAGACTGGAAGTTCCGTAAAGCACTGTTGTTTGTTTTAAAAAATGTCAGATCAACAAGTTGTGTTTGAGACCTTTCTTAAGTTTGAATGAGAATGACCAGTCATTTGGTAGCTCTAATCACTGGGTAAATCTGATGTTACATTTGAAGTGAGTAATATTAGTTTTAACAAGTCTCGTACACGATCTTAACCAAGGTAGTTTAGCTTAGGATTTCATCCAAATTAATTTTATCTAAAAAGTGACTGTCCAGCAGCCAACATAACTATTAACACTAAATTTCCATTGTGTTTTACTTTATGTCCAGTCTATTTATTTTGTTCTCAAAAACACAATTATTGAGGGAACTCAGAACTACTGTGCAATAAATATCTCATTGAATCTCATAGTATTTGTAGATGGTTTTTGCTTCCCTATAAATCAGTTTACCTGAGAATACTACATAAGCAACAGTTGCAACTACAATGAAAGAGCAATCACTAATGCTAATGCCAAAAGTTAAGATTTTAGAAGCTGTCGCAGCAGCAAAGAAGCTAAAACCATCTACTTTACAGGATACCACCTAACCAGAACATCAGAACCTAAGATAACAGTTCATCAAATGGAACTTCAGACTGATGTTCCATTGTACTTAAGTAATATTGTGTAAAAGAATATTAAATATGTAAGCTGCACTGAAAAAAACTGAATAGCTTTTATAAATTATTGTAAGCTGTCAACTCTACAAAAAATTCATTGAAAACTTGGTACATAATAATAACAACAAGTCACTTATTACAAGAAAGTCAATCAGCTCACTGAAATCAATAATCAATCTTGTTTAACAACAAAAAAAAAAGCTGCATAAAGCTACTTAGGTAATTCAGTTTCCACTAGAACAAATTACTGACCAATCATTTACAAATTCAGTCTTTTAAGAGGCACATATTGAATATTATTTATGTTTATGCATGAACATCTGCCTATCCCACTGCACTTTTCTTTTAATTCTAAGACAAACTGATATGTGCTGCAATTTGTATGCATTGTGTCAATTTCTTTTTCAATACATTTTGGCTAAAAAAAGAAATGATAATATAATAGCAGATAATGCATTTGATTATTAAGACACAAAAGTGGGTTGTCATTGACTTTCTTTTTATTTTGTGAAAGTTACTGAATATAACTTATGGCTAGCATTTGAGCAAAAGAATGTCTATGATATCACAAATTTTAACAGAAATACAACAGTTTTTTTTTAATATCAAACTTTTTTGTTTAACCTATATTAAACAACAATCAACAAAATGAATGTAATATGTTATAAGATCTATAAATTCTGTTTTGAAATACACGACCAGATTATTTTGGATCAATGCAAAATGATAACACAGATTATGAGAATGAAAATATATAAAGAATCAGTGACATTTAATACATTTGTAATAAAAAGCCCTTAAATATTAAAAACAATTTTTGAAAATTATTTTTACACGGTACCTGCTCCCCTCAATTTTCAATAAATCATGTCTACCTCTGTCAGTTTAAGTTCAATCTAAATTATTTCACACATAAAAAGATCCTATGAATGAAAAATGTCTATGTAATTCTAAATAAATGGGCCAAAAGCACAAACTATTAAAGTTGATGGCAAAAGATATAAAGTCTACCTCCATGCTGAGCCTTTTCAATCATCTGCCATTGCACTTTAACAAGACATTTTGCAATTGGTCAGTTGTCTGTCAATCAGCCAGATAAAACGAATTTTACAAAAAAACAGAAAAGGCTATCTCAAATCAAGCCTATTGCAACTCTTCAATATTTTCCCCATCATATTTAAGTAAATTGGGTGAATGGTCAATATGATAATAGAAATGGCAGTAATATGCCAAATGGTGGCCAATTCTCAATCCTTTGTAAGTATTCTGTTGTTGTTTTTTTGTGTGTGCACGTGTTTCTGGTGGCTTGGGTTTTAAAAAGCAAAGCTTCTGATTATTATATGTATCCACATTCATATTGAAAAAATATTGTCCATCACCACAAATATGGAAGCTTACCTGGCAGAGGTACACTTTGTGAAGTTTCCATTCTCTCCCCAATGCCATTATAGTTACATCGCTGTTAAGGCCTTCTTGAAATAAAGTTTTGTAGATGTACTGTGATGTGGTCATAAGTTTTCTTCTGTAAAAAAAATAAAGATCATAAATCCTTCTAAGATCTTCTAACCTACATGAATATTTTTTCTAATGCAAGTATATCAATAATCACCCGTGAAATGTGCATTTACACAAGCTCTATATGGTGATGTACTGTATATTAGTTATGAAAGCTTGAATGATGAAAAATTCTAAAATATACATAAAATGCCAATCTGCAAATTATAATGAAATATTGTTATAAATAGATATTAATAAATCAGTACTTTCAAGTACAGCAAGTAACATTTATAGCCTATATTTTCTACATTTTTAGAATTAAAATTAATTTGAAACAAGTAGTTACCCCTGAAATACTTGTTCAGTCATTTCCATTCTGTCAAAAACCATATGACTTTTAGTTATGAATGTTCTTGATGCAATAGCTCTCCTACCTTCCATGTGACTTATAGTGCAAGCACCAAAAGAAACTACCTAATTCCTACTTTCCTGCCACAAGCCAGATTTATTCCTTTGCAGTTGTGATAAATAACATTCAGTACCTGGTTGTAGAGAAGTGAGTGAGAATATATTTCAGAGGTAAGTACCTGTTTGAAATTAATTTTAATTCTAAAAACATAAAATTCAAATCATGTAGACTTACTTCCAAACTATTTTAAGCTAGAATACCCACACTGAGATGGAGGAGAAAACTGAAGAGTGTCATAATAAAAGACAACCAGCTCTAGGACAGGAAGAAGTACCTTACCTAGTCTACAACAACCTTGAGTGCTGTGATCAAGCAGTGTTTGAACAGAATCCAGATCTAAAGTGATACAAATTGAACTGCATTCATCTGGAAAATTACGTAGAGAAGACCATAAATGATGAAACACAAAATGTAAAGCATTCTTCTCAGCAGAATACCTTTTCATCCTAGACATTCTTTCTTTAAAAAATATAAAGAGGGATTAGGCAATATGAAAATACTTGGGTTGTGAAGCACATTCTTAGGTGCGTTTCCATATGGTGTTAGCCAAGTTCAGAGCACAAAGTGTTGTCCTGTACCTGTTAGCAAAAAATACTCAGTGGAGAAGAAGTAATTAAGTAGGATTGGACATACTACTGGAACTAAAATCCCATCACCTGAAACTGAGAAGGCCAACAGAATCATGAAACTGGTCTAATCAACAGAAGAACAGTAATTAAGTAGGATTGGACATACTACTGGAGCTAAAATCCCATCATTTGAAACTGAGAAGGCCAACAGAATTATGAAACTGGTCTAATCAACAGAAGAACAGTAATTTAAGTATGATTGGACATACTACTGGAGCTAAAATCCCATCACCTGAAACTGAGAAGGCCAACAGAATCAAGAAACTGGTCTAATCAACAGTTACTTAGGGATAATCAAAAAGAGCTGAGTAACTTCAAGACAATGCAATGGGAGCACATAATAAGGATGTAAATTAAGGCAAAAATGAAGTGTATAGTTTATCTTATCTTGATTAGAGGTATGAGATATCCATTGGAGAACAGTTTTGACAACTCCTATATCTAAAAATATTATGTAAGTAGATGCACATGGAGGTGGGAAAAGGTATCCACCAAGTCATCATTATTTGTCCACCCTTTCTTGGACTCTGACTAGAGGAATACATCTACACACACACACAGTCTTATGTAACAGGAAAATGAAAGATTATGAAGGTTTTTTTGGATTTTTTTTAAGTGAATGAACTTACATGTTAGGGATTCCACCACAATGTGGAATAAAATGGACTAACATTTGAGTCAACCAGAAAGAGGACTCAACTTCACTGACAAAGGACTGAACAACAGACAGTCATACAGCTATAGACATTGTGGTGAAAAACAGACATTCGAGGTTGGAGTTAGATGTTTTCACACTGGTAACAGGATCAGTTCCAAATAATAAGAGAAATAGCAGCAAAGCAAAGGTTGCAAGATTGAATACTGTCCTGATTGATGTATGCCACTACTGTGGAATTATCTGTATGAGCCAACACAGAATGATGATTTAGAAAGGTATATATCTTTTACAGATCCATTATCTCACAGAATAGTTCTTTCTCTAGTCTCTTTTGAGTCCCTTCTATTATGGTTGAATTCAGAGTTTACAACTTCAAGCTAGCTCCCCCCTTTCTTCCTACTCATTCTGATCTGGATCTTTTCACAGATGCTACCCTCATGATTTAGGGTCTACTATATTAGGTGTGTGCATCTTTCTGGTACCTGGACTTCCCAGAAAGTAGCATCTCAGTGATCTTGCTTCAAGTTATTGAAAATGTATGGTTCGCAGTGACTTTCTAGACTTTCGTCCTATATAGTTAACCACATAGGCAACAAAGATATCAAAATTAAAGAATAGGTTAAATAATCACCAACTTTTTTTTACATTATTATTGGAAGGGAACGAGTTTCAGGCTAGTGCTCACGAGCTCAAAACATCATTCTCTTCAAATAATACTATAAAAAAATATTTCCGATTGTGTAGCCTATTGTTTAATAATGGATCTGTAGTCCAACTCCACTGGGAAGCCAGATCTCACTAAAGGTTACACATGTAAGCACAATCCAAGTGAATAACTTTGTGAAGTGAAACCACTATCCCCAAAGCATATAAGATGTCTTTATCAGTAGGTATAGATGACAGAGTTAGCACACACAAAACACCAGGGCTTGAAGTGCCATAGGAGACAACTGAAGAATCTTCTGAGCTGTATTGATTCAAAATCCCAGATGGACCAAATAATGAGTTGGTACTAACTGGGAGTTAGCTTTGTGAATAATTTCATGACATGAAGCTATTGTCTCCAAAGCAGATAGGATGTCTTTTGCAATGGGCATAGATGACAGAATTTGTGTACACAAAACTACAAGGCTTGAAGTGCCACAGGAGACAGTGGAAGAATCCCCTGAACTGTTTTGATTCAAAACCTCAGATGGATCAAATACTGAGTTAGCACTAATTGAGATTCAGCTTTATGAATGATCTACCTAGAAGATGTATCCAACTTAGTGTATGATAGAGATTGAGTAAGCAACAGAACAAGAAGTCAATTATTCACAAAAAATTGGAAGTTGATATCAACCTTGACTAAATGGCACAAAATGCTAGAATAAAATGAAGAGTAGAAAATTGGTAAACTCCCTCACAATGGCAAAAACATAGAAAACAGTGAGATGGCTGATTGAACAGGATATGAAGATAAGCATCCTGGATATCCACCTTTCCATCAAAGAAACTTCCATAACATTTTGAAATGAGAAATCTTCAAAAAATGATTAAGATGAAACAGATCTATCACAAGTCAGCTTGGAATTACAAAAAGATGGGAGTAAAAATCTGGAAGAGTGGCAAATTATTTCAACAGTTTCTTCTTGAAAGAGATCCCACTCTTTCTCATCTAAAACTTCTAGGCACACAGGATCAGAAGGAAGTGAAAAATGTACAGATAGAAATGAAAGAGGAACAAGACAATGTAGGGAAAAGGAATGCATCTAGAACTGAAGAAAATCACTTAGCAATTCAAAAAGAACAATCAAACTTGCTTCTATGGCTGGCAACCCAAAATGGGGCAAACGAAAGAAGTAGAAGTAGCAAACACAGAAGACTAAGAACTATAAAAAGCAAAAAAAAAGATAACAACTACTGCCTATTGGACATCTCAAAGGGAGATGACAGCCATAAAAAAATGGGAGAGTCTAGAACCCAAATCAGCTTCTGAACCTAATTCAAGTGAAAATCCTTCAAAAAAGAATGGTACAATAAGGAAGCCAGGTAGTAAGATACCAAATCTGTGAGAGTTGCAGACAATGAAGAATGCATTTTTAAGTAGAACAGCTAATAGCCAGTAGCTGTGGTGAAGAAGAAACTCTTAGAATAAGAATAATCATAGCATGAAGGGAAGAAAGCTGATGAAAAGACAAGGAAAAATAATCACTTGGAAGATATCCCACCCCCAGGAAGAATTTGTAAAGAATGAGGTGTTGTAGCAGTTTGGAAGATACAAAGAGGTAAGAACAGAAACAACTAATATACTACTAGCATCCTCAGGCATAACAGAAATCTGACCAAGATTTAGAATAGTACATACCTGTTGTAGTAGGAACAATTTTATAGATCTGATGCCTTACAAAATCATTGAATGAAATATATTACAAATGAAGGGTAACATGGATTCCCCAAAGGGAAAAAAAACTTGCCTGACGAATATGTTACCTTTTTGTGAGTTACTTATCAGGATAAGGAAAAGCATATACATTTAGTGTAATTAAATGTTTTAAAAGTTTGTGATATGGTACAACATAAAAGATTAGATAAGATAGTTTTTTTGGTTTCTTTTGTTTTGGTGCTTTTATAAATATGGTGTTTATATATTTTAGCTTTTGAACTTTTAACCACTAAATCAATAGGGTTCTTTCTCAGCACCAAGGGAAGTAACCTGTGAAGTTTTATTAAAATCTAATTTTCAGAATTCTTAAGTTACTGTGTAAAATTTGCTTCTTGAAATGGTGATGTTGACCTTTTAACACCAGAATCAATAAGGTTCATTGTGTAGAAAGCATAAAATTGATGTCTATAGACAAATAGATGGACATAACATTACTATATCATCCCCAAGCCTTTTCAGTTGAAAAGATAAAAAATGGCACACAAAAAAATTAAAAATAGTTTACTAAAAATGCAAAAGAGTGAAAAACTAGAAGTTGGAGAAAAGTTGCTAAATCTTACAAAAATATAACATAATACAGAAGGTAAAAAACAACAACAAATTATGAGCTTAGTACACCAGGTATATACTGAAAACCTGAGAGTTTATTTTTATATAACTCCTGGAATAACAAACAAGTTTTTTTTTTCTATTGAGGCAGAAAATGAGCATTTCCCTTTCATGAGTCAAGTCCAGATGCTACTGTTATGAAATTTTGATGACTCATAAAATAGGCAAAAAAATCTCATACTAAAGTTACCTCTAGATCAACTTTTAGTGCACAAGACCGGAAAAATTACCAAGA